TGCGCAACGGTCGCTGTGGGGGAGACGACATCCCACAGCCGTGCGGCAGGAGCGTAAGACACGGTCGACCTGGTAGCCAGCCAGGCGGCCGAAACAAACACAAAAAAAACACAACTGAGACAGGTCAAACAAAAAGTGCTGCCCGCACCGAGGTACGGGCCAACCGCCAGGGCCATGCCCCCGTGGCCAGCACCAGGAGACTCGCCCGACGGCGCCAGATCAATCGAACAACCGAACCACACTGAGGGCATCCAAGTCGAGCCAACATTTGCGCTCTTCGGGTGCCTGCCAGACAAGATTCGGTTCCAATAGTACTTAGACGAACGGGGTCACTGCGGCTTGTCATTACACCGTTGGTTCAAATATCGCACGTAACCACTCGTCGAGAAAGCCTTGCACTTCAAGCAAGTACAACCAGTACTGCCATCAGAGCAGGACAGAACAATACATTTATGGCCGAGCTCGATGAGCTTGGTATCGTAGAGCTTGTGAGTGGCAGAACAGACACTGTTAGGGGGCCAGCAAGACCTGGAGGCCCTCAAGCATTGCTTGCACTGCCAGAGCGTGTCTCTCCACACCCAGGAGTGGCGGGCCTTGGAGGCGGAGGAGGAGGAGGAGAAGGAGGAGGAAGAGGAGGAGGAGGAGGAGGAGGAGGGAGGAGCGATGAGCGAGGAGGAGGTGGAGGAGGAGGAGGGGGATGGAAAGGAGGGGAAGGAGGAGGGAGGAGGAGGAGGAGGAGGAGGAAGAGGAGGAGGGTTGAGGATGAGGATGAGGATGAGGAGGAGGAGGAGGAGGAGGAGGAGGAGGAGGATAATCAACTCGGACTCCTGCGGGGGCAGAACTCCGAAAGAAATCTCGCGATCCGGTCAGGCCATGCTCCAGCACTGGACACAGTCGCCCCGACCCCCCGCGCCCTCCCGGGGGGAGGTCGACGGGCAACGGGCGCTGGCCGCTCTCTGCGGTTCGTCACCGTGGCAGGTTTCGGAAACGCTGCCCGCACGGATGCTAACGCCTCACGGGAGGCAGGGGGGCGTCCACACCCCGCGATCTGGTCAGACCAAGCTGCGGCACTGGATATGCGTCCCGACCCCCGCGCCCTCGTTTGGGGAGGTCGACTGGTAACGGGCGCTGGCCGCCCTCTGCTGTTCCACACGTGGCAGATACTTCGGAAGCGCTGCCCGCACGGATGCTGACGCCTCACGGGAGGCGGGGGAATGTCAACACCGTGACAAGGGCGTCACGTTTCTGAATTCATATGCAAGAGCCGTTATATACAGATGCCAGCCTTCATGCAGCTGCGGAGTCATGGGGAATGCTTTCGCCAGGGTCTCCGTCTCCCCTTCCGCAGCCGACTTTGGGGTTCAGCCTAGCCTGAGTCCGCCAAGGGCGATAGAGCCACGGAGCTGCACCTATCGTTTGAGAACAGTTCAATTCAAAAGCGTTACTGGGGAGACCAAAAGGTACCGATACCTCCACTCCTTGGACCTCTCCCGAGGTGCGTTCTGATCAGGAATTACGAGCGAATCCAGCGGTGGTGACGAGGGTCTCTCAGAGTGCCCAAGAAAAGGGCAACGAGGGACGGGTAGCAGTGTGGGTATGGCCAGACCTAGGACATAATAACTTCTTGCAAGAAAACGAAACCCTCCGCGGGCCCAAACTGACGAACACTCGAGGGCACCCTGCCCCAGGATGCACAATAACCTCCAACAAACACGAAGTACTCTAGGGTACCCTCCCCGAACCGACCTCGATCTTGTACCTCGGTCCGGCTGCACTGCTACTCCCCAGACCTCTACCGAGGTGCGTTCTGACCAGAATTTCCAGGCGAACCCAGCCGTGGCGACGAGGGGGAGGAGGAGGAGGAGGAGGAGGAGGAGGAGGAGGAGGAGGAGGAGGAGGAGGAGGAGGAGGAGGAGGAGGGAGGAGGAGGGGGGAGGGGAGGGGAAGGGGGAGGAGGAGGAGGAGGGGGAGGAGGAGGAGGAGGAGGAGGAGGAGGAGGAGGAGGAGGAGGAGGAGGAGGAGGGGAGGAGGGGGACTAGGAGGAGGAAGGAGGAGGAGGAGGAGGAGGAGGAGGAGCGAGGAGCAAGGAGCAGCAGTTCTGTCCAGGCGCAGCAGCAGCTGCAAGCGTGCACGGCGACGCCGCCTCTGAGCAACTCCCGCCGCCTTCCGCTGGCCTTCCCGGCGGCCTTCCGCCGGCGGACCCGCCGCCGGGTGCTCCCGCCGCGTGCCCCGCCGACCTGCGGCCTGTGCGGCGAGGCGTGCGCCCCCCGAGGCTGGGCGCCCTCTTTCTGTCCAGGCGCAGCAGCAGCTGCAAGCGTGCACGGCGACGCCGCCTCTGAGCAACTCCCGCCGCCTTCCGCTGGCCTTCCCGGCGGCCTTCCGCCGGCGGACCCGCCGCCGGGTGCTCCCGCCGCGTGCCCCGCCGACCTGCGGCCTGTGCGGCGAGGCGTGCGCCCCCCGAGGCTGGGCGCCCTCTTTAGGGGGGGGGGCGCGCGTGGGCAGACACTTTTTTTCTCGTCGGCGTCGAGGGTGAGGAGGAGGAGGAGGAGGAGGAGGAGGAGGAGGAGGAGGAGGAGGAGGCAGAGGTTACTGCGCCAGCGGTCGAGCTGGACGGGGCTGCCGAGGAGCGAACTGCCTGGCACGCAGGAGGAGAGACCGAGACCGACAGGGCGGCACTCAGAGGCGGAGGTGGGTAGAAACGTGAAGCAGGAAGGCGTTGGGAGGAGATTGGGCTTCCGCCCGCCCCCTGCCGGGGAAGGAAGAGGGACCACCACTCGATCGTGGAAGTGATTAGGCAGGCGCCGTGCGTGTAGTGGGATCTGGGCATCCAGAAGTGCCTGCTTCCGACGACCGACGCGCAATGGGGGGCTATGAATGCGGGAGGAGACAGGTGCACTTCTCGGGCCCTGGAGGCCCCTTTTGGGACCTCCAGAGCCCCGAAGGGCACCTTCCTTTGCATCTGTCGCTGCCCCCCCCCCCCTCATGTATCGCCCCCTTGGGCGCCCGAGTTATCGGGGGTAACTCGGGCTTGGATTCCCGAAAAAAGGAACCCGAGTTATCCCTGACCCGAGTTACCCCTGATGATTCGGGGCTCTGGACGCCCGAGTTATCCGGGGTAACTCGGGTCCGGGGTAACTCGGGTTTGGATTCCCGAGAAAAAAGGAACCCGAGTTAGCCCTGACCCGAGTTGCCCCTGATGATTCGGGGCTCTGACCCCCTCTCATGTGCGCGACGCCCAGCCCTTTCTTCTGGAGAGCGCGCCGGGTGGGCCACGTGCCTGAGGCCTCGAGCTGGCCGCAACCCGGCGGGCCCCCGCGGGGCACGCGCTCCGCGTGGCGCCCGCGGGTCGGCGGTACAGGCAGGGGCGACCCTGGGCAGTGGTGGCCTCTGGGAAGCGACTCTCGGGGGGCGCGGGAGGCCCCTCGCCGTGGCCCCTCCTCCTCCTCCTCCTCCTCCTCCTCCTCCTCCTCCCCTCCTCCTCCTCCTCCTCCTCCTCCTCGCCCTCGCCCTCCCTCCTCATCCTCCTCCTCCTCCTCCTCCTCCTCCTCCTCCTCTCGGGAGGGCCACGCCGGGGCAGGGATGCCGCTGCGATCGCATCGCACTCCGCCAGCTGGGCGACGATCGAGCACGGGTCTTCCGCGAGGTGACATAGCGACCTTACGCGGCGGCCTGCGCGGGCCGCCGGCGCGGCACGCCTCACTGGAAGCGAGGGCGCCTGCGCGCGACCTTGCGCGGGCAGCTTGTGCGCGAATGTCGGCGCAGACGAACCCGTTCTTCGGCGCCGCTCATCTGGGGACCCCAGCGAGCCTTGGGCGTGAATCACTTGGGGGGGGCCATACGCGGGGGGCAAGACAGGTGCCCTCTTCGGGCTCCCAAAAGAGAGGCCCCCTTGGGGGGCCCGACGGGGCTCCCTTGGGGGCCCTCGCTGCTCCCCCGTGCACCGCGGCCCCACTGCGCGCCCCCCAAGCGCCTGCACCAAAGGTCACTTCGGCGAGAGGTCACTCTTGCGTGTAACTGAACGCCCGAAATGGGTAGGGAAAAAAAAGGGTACGTGCCCAGCAACACATGTTGTCCCAAACCGGCAGCGGCCGCTGTTGGGCACGCGGCCTTCTGTCTCAAATGGGCACAGGCCGCGGCGGCGCGGACAGCGAGTCACGTTCAAAATGAACAGGAACTGCTGTTTCGGGGATGGACAGACCTCCCTTTAGTCAAACGTGGTTCAGTGAAAACGACCTGAAGCCCAAACCTGGCGGGCGCAGGCCTGGAAAATGACGGCCGCGGCGCCCTCCCGAGAACCGAAAACGGACAATTCACCAATCGACGTGTCACTGTTGGGGGTTCTGTCCACCCCCGACGGTTGGGCATTGTACGGCAGGTTCGTGTCGTACCAACCCCAGCGTTGGTTTTTGACACCGCAGGGATCGTTCAACCTTGAACGATCGGCCGCTGCCGCAACGTCCGATCGTTCAACATCGATCGATTCTGGGTCGCCGGCGGCGTTCAACCTTGAACGCCCGCGCTGGGGTCGCCGCTGGTCGACACGACGCAAACCTACCGTACGCGACGCCCAGCCCTTTTTTCTGGAGAGCGCGCTGGGTGGGCCACGTGTCCGAGGCCTCGAGCTGGCCGCAACCCGGCGGACAATTCACTAATCGACGTGTCACTGTTGGGGGTTCTGTCCACCCCCGACGGTTGGGCATTCTACCCATTTCGTTCGTGCCGGAGTGCAGCCGAGCCAGCGACCCCAGCGGCCCTCCTCGGGCCGGCCAGCCGCTCGGCCCCGGGCGCCGCCGCCGTGGCCCACCGCTCGACTCGGCGGCCGAGGCCGCGCCGCCGCCTGGGAACTCGCGCGGGCGGCGCCGACGACGACGACGACGACGACGACGACGACGACGACGACGACGACGACGACGACGGCGACGGCGACGGCGACGGCGACGGCGACGACGACGGCGACGGCCAGCCTGGGCAGAACTCAAAGCTGGGCGCCGCCGCCGCCTTCAATCGGCCTTCCGGCTCGCGGCGGCATCGCGCTCGGCGCGCGCGCTCGCCTCCTGGGCCTTCCGCTCCTCGAAGGCCCGGCGCAGCTCCGCCCGCTTGCCGTCGCCGCGGCCGGCCTTCGCGGCCGCTGGGGGAGGCGTTCCAGAAGCACGGGGTGGGGTTGGGGCTGGTGGGGTCGGGAACGAAGACGCGGATGACTTATGTGTGGTGGATAGAGACAGGTGTTCCCCAAACAGCGCGCTTTCACTGAAGGAATTCTTACTTGTCTTGCAAACTCTTACTTGTCTTGCAAGGAAGCTGGGCCTGAGCGGCGGTGTGGCGGCTATGTTGCCGCCGTCGCCGCCCCGTCGCCGCCCGTCGCCTGGGCTTGTGCTGCGGTCTGGCCACCATGCCTCCGCCGTCGCCGCCTCGTCGCCGTCTGTCGCCTGGGCCTGCGGGCCGCTCTGGCCGCCATGTGGCCGCCGTCGCCACCCCGTCGCCACCTCGTCGTACACATATAGCACTGCATACATTGCACCGCGTATTTTGTACCACATACGTTCCACCACATGGAGTGCACCATAGACATCGCTCTACACAGCTCATAACATGTAGACTTTACTGCGTAGCATGCGCCACTTGGAGTGCCACACGCAGATTGCACCACATGGTTGCCGGATCGCACTGTTTTGGATCCACGCTGGCCAACATTCACTCTTTGACGGTGAGCCATGTTATCGGGCAGTTTTTTTGTTTTCCTTCTTTTTCTTCTCACGGGAAGCTCACAGATCGTGCAGAGGAGGAAGGGCGGCGCCGTGTGAAGATCCCCTGTGGCCCAAACGGCCACAGGGGAGCCAGCTGATGAGCTAACCTTTCGCTCCGGGCAGCCCACACGCAGGCCCGCGCGCGCGCCGGGACTGCGCGCCCCCGTTTCGGGCCTGCGCAGCCGGCAACGCCAGGATGTCCAGGGGGGGGGGGGCGGGCCGGCCCGATGACCCGTGTTATCGCTGGATCCTTCGCCTCACATGGGGTGCATTAGTACTCCAGATTTCGTAATAAAAGGGAGGGGGTCTGGACCCTCCAGGACAAGCCGTTTCAGGCCTCCCCCGTGGGAGGACCCTCCAAAACATCGTCCCCAGACCCCCCAGGCCCTCCAAGATAGCCTGGAAGAGACCCCCCCCGAAATGAGACCCCCCTCCCTTTATTACGAAATCTGGAGTACACGCAGATGGCCGTGCACAGGTAAGCCACAGGAGCCCACAGCATGCCAAGACATGTGCGTGGGCACCGTGCAGTTGCATGGCCACCGCATCACCGCGATTCGGTCGCGGGGAGTCCTCGGGTGGACGTGGACACGGGAGGCAATGAGCCCAGACCCTCTCGAGTCGCGACAACAATCACGACGGCCGAGGTTCTCGGCCATTTTCGGCCTCCAGGGGCCCTTACCAGGCCCTGGGACCGTCGGAAGCGACTCGGGATGAAACACCGGTCCTGGGGAAGGGGGCGGGACCTCCAGGGATCCTCCAGGGGTCCGCGTTGTTAGAACACCACGGCGCTTCACAATGCAAGCAGGACCCCCTTAGGCCATGTGGCGACATACTGGCCGATTAGATTTTGAATACGCTGGATGTCCGAGAAAGAGGGGGGGGCCCTGCAGGAAGGGGGTCCAAAGTTTCACCCTCCCAGCTTCCCCCAGGAGCCCAGTGAGGTGCGAGTCCTGGGGAAGAAGTGCCCCCGTGTCCAGGACCCGTCTCCTCCAGGACCCGCTTCCCTCATGCCACACATCGTATGGGGAAGAGGGTGGGGGGACGGAAGTGGACAGGAAGGGCGGAGGAGGAGGAGGAGGAGGAGGAGGAGGAGGAGGAGGTGTATGAGGAGGAGGAGGAGGAGGAGGTGGATGAGGAGGAGGTGGAGGAGGAGGAGGCGGAGGAGGAGGAGGCGGAGAAAGAGGAGGAGGATATGAGGGTTTGGGGAGGAGTGGGAGGTTTGTTGAGGGAAGGGGAGGAGGAGGCACGATAGGCAGAACGACGAGCCTGGGGGAAAGGGAAAGGGCTGGGGCCAGAAGAGGGCCGTGGCCTCGCTCTAGAGCAGGGCTCCTGGGCCAGAGCAACGGAGAGGAGGCGGAGGGTCGGCTGCTGCGAAAGGGGCGGAACGCCCAGGGCGGGGGGGGATCACAAACTACATGCAGCCCCAGGGGCTCCGACCGCACATGCCTTCGACGAGGCTCCCCGGTGAATTCATGTGATGCCCGCCCCTGGGCGATCCACCACTTCTGCCTGCCGCCGAGGTGAAGAGAGGAGGAGAAGGATGAGAAGGATGAGAAGGAGGAGCAGGAGGAGGCGGGGGAGGAGGAGGAGGCGGGGGATGATGATGATGATGATGATGATGATGATGATGATGATGATGATGATGATGATGATGATGATGATGATGATGATGATGATGATGCTGATGCTGATGCTGATGCTGATGCTGATGATGCTGATGATGTTGATAATGCTGATGAGGATGATGATGTTGAGGACGATGCTGATTCTGATGATGATGCGGATGCGGATGCGGATGCGGATGCTGATGCTGGTGATGCTGATGGCGCTGCTGACGATGATAATGACCACGATGCTGCTGATGATGCTGCTGATGACGATTATCATGATGATGATGGATGCTGGATAATGGATGGTGGATGATGGTGATGATGATGATGATGATGATGATGATGGTGATGATGATGATGATGATGCTGATCATGCTGATACTGCTGACGATGCTGATCATGGTGATGATGCTGATACTGATACTGATTATGATGCTGATGATGATGCTGAGCATGATGATGATGCTGATGATGATGCTGATGATGATGCCGAGGAGGAGGAGAAGGAGGAGGAGGAGGAGAAGGAGGAGGAGAAGGAAGAGGATGAGGAGCAGGAGGAGGAGGGGGAGGAAGGGAAGGAGGAGGAGGAGGAGGAGGAGAAGGAGGAGGAGGCGGGGGAGGAGGAGGCGGGGGAGGATGAGGATGAGGATGAGGATGAGGATGATGCTGCTGCTGCTGATGATGATGAGGCTGATGATGAGGATGATGATTCTGATGGTGATGCTGACGATTATGATGATGATGATGATGATGATGATGATGATGATGATGATGATGATGATGATGATGATAATGCTGGTGCTGATAATGATGATGATGATGATGATGATGATGCTGATGATGCTGATGATGATGATGATGATGATGATGATGATGATGATGATGATGATGATGATGATGATATGATCCTGATGCTGACACTGATGATGCTGATGATGCTGTTGATGACGATGATGATGCTGCTGATGATGATGATAGACACGACGCTGAGGATGCTGCTGATGACGATTAGCATGATGATGATGATGCTGATGATGATGATGATGATGATGATGATGATGCTGATTATGATGATTCTGATGATGCTGCTGATGATGATGACGATGCTGATGATGATGCTGCTGCTGCTGCTCAGGAGGAGGAGGAGGAGGAAGAGGAGGAGGAGGAGCGGGGGAAGGAGGAGGCGGGGGGAGGAGGAAGAGTAGGAGAAGGAGGAGGAGAAGGAGGAGGAGAAGGAGGAAGAGGAGGAGGAGGAGGAGGAGAGGAGGAGGAGGAGGAGGAGGAGGAGGAGGAGGAGGAGGAGGAGGGGGGGGGGAGAAGGAGGAGGAGCTTGGAGGAGGAGGAGCTGGGAGGAGGAGGAGGAAAAGGAGGAGGAGAATTCGGCGACGACGAGTGAGGAGGAGGAGGAGAAGGAGGAGGAGGAGGAGGAGGACGAGGAGGAGGAGGAGGTCGAGGAGGAGGAGGAGAAGGAGGCGGAGGCATCGCCTGGAGGCCCTGCCTGGTCTCCACGTCGGCCCCGGCGAGGGAGCTGACCGCGACGGTGCCCATGAAGAGAGGCACCCACCAGAACATCATGCACGCCATGAAGGCCCCGAAGGCGAGGGCTGGCTTGATGATGCCCGTCAGGACCGGTTTCGTCTTCGCCTCGCGGGGGGGGCAGGCCGAGATCTGGGCCGCCACGACGCCGCGCGACGCTCTGCGCGGCCTCGCGCCGCCGACCTCGAGAAGGACCGCTCTCCCCTACGCAGAGGCATCTTCGCCGCCCCTGCGGGCGACCCAGCAGAGGAGGGTGAGGAGGAGGAGGAGGAGGAGGAGGAGGAGGAGGAACAGGAGAATGATGATGATGAGGAGGAGGAGGAGGAGGAGGAGGAGGAGGAGGAGGAAGAGTGGGAGGAGGAGGGAGGAGGAGGAGGACGAGGAAGAGCAGGAGTTGGAAGAGGAGGGGGATGACGAAGACGAGGACGAGGATGAGAGGAAGTGGATCCACGCCGGGGAGTTGGCCGTGTAAGGAAGGGCTTCCGAAACCCAAGTGGCCCCCTCTCCAGAGTCCTGATACCACCTTGAGCTTTGCCCGGAACGGATGAAAGAACCCGAGCGCGCCCGTTGCGGCCTCCGCGCGCTCCGCAGCGAAGGGCACAGCAGGCGCGCTTCATCGTTGTCGCTCTGGGGCTTCATCCCGCGAACGTCGATTCTGATGCGCTGGGTACCGGCCGCCCACATCGCCAGCGCGCCATCCACCGAGCCTGGGCCCCCTTCCTCCTCCCGCCCCCACCGCCCCCTGATGGCCTCGCCATGCCCCCTGGCGTAAGGGATAAGTAACGTCCACCGTGAGCAGCGAGCCCGGGGCAACGGCAGTCTTGCAAGCTGACCCCCCTCGCGCGGCCCCGGCGGAGAAGGGACCCCCTTCCTCGCCGCCCGACGCCGGCTGCATCAGCTCGTGGCAGTTCCTCCTCCTCCTCCTCCTCCTCCTCCCCCTCCTCCTCCTCCTCCTCCTCCTCCTCTTCTTCCTCCTCTCTCTCCGTCCTCCAGGTTCCATGCTCCGTGCACGAGGTTCGGGAGGGCCTGCGAGACTTCCAAACTCGGCCGACGGGCCGCTGATGCGCACCCGCAGGGAAGAACCGATTCTGACGGCCCGAGGGGGATAGACAGGGGAGTTCCACGAGGAACTGCTCGCAGATGGCCTCGACCCGCCGGAGGGATGTACGACAGGTTATTACATCGAGACGAGAGCATGTTTTCTGAACATTTGCAGGTGGGCACTTTGCGAGTAGTGGAGCGCGCTCGGTGGGGGGAGAAGCCGCCCGTGACAACGAAGACCAGCTCCCGGGGCACGGCCCCCGCCGAAGCCGGCCGATGCTGCGCAGCGCAGGTGCCGCGTGCGACTCGCGCGCGCGTCTCGTCCCCGCACTCCACGTCGCGCTCCGCGCGCGGGGCACGGAGGCAGAGGTGCCGCCAGGGGGGAGTCCGGCGCGGCCCCGAGAAATCCGCGCGGCCCTCCGAGAGTTTCTGCTCGTGTGAGTCCTCTGCCCCCGACCACAGCAGCGGCCCATCCGAGGGCTGACCGACTTCTTGGCGCTCCTTCTGAACCGCCCGCACTGTCGTCGTCGTGTTTGCTTTTGTTCTTGTTATTGTTGTTGCTATTGTTGTTGCTGTTATTGTTGTTGTTATGGTTGTTGCTATTGTTGTTAATGGTGTCCTTGTTGTTGTGGTTGTTGTTATTGTTGTTGCTGTTAGTGTTGTTGCTATTATTGTTGTTGTGTGTGGTGTGGTTGTTCGTCTTCTTCTTGTTGTTGTTGTAATGGTTACCTTTGTTGTTGTTATTGTTGCTATTAATGAAGTTGTTTTTTTACTCATGCTACTGCTGTTATTCATGTTATTGTTGATATTACTGTGTTGTTGTTGTGAATATTGTTGCCGCTCTTGCTCGTATAGCTCCTCTTGTTGTTGTTGTTGTTGTAAGTATGGTTGTTGCTGTTATCGGTGTTGTTATTATTCTTATTGTTGTGATTACTATTGTTGTTGTTGCTTGTTGTTGGTGTGTTTATTGTTGTTGTTAGTGTTGTAGTTGTTGTTATTGTTGTGTTTAGTGCTGTTGTTGTTATTGTTGGGAATGTTGTTATTTGTGTTGTTGTTCCTACCGTTGTTCTTGTCGTTGGTAATTCACTGTTGTCATTATTGTCCTTGCTGTTGGGGTTCGCTATGTTGTTGTTAGTGGTGTTGTTATTGTTGGCAGTGGTGCTCTTATTAGTATTGTTGTTATGGTTGTTGTTCTTGCTGCTACTATTGTTGTTGCTGTTGGTGTTGTTATTGTGGTTGTTACTGGTGCGGTTATTGTTATGGTTGTTGCTGCCATTGTTCTTGTTGTGGTTGCTCTTGTTGTCTGGTTGTCATTGTTTGTGTTGCTCTTTTTGTTGGTGTTGTGTTTGGTTATTGCTGTTGTAGTTGTTGTTTTTGTTGTTATGGTTGTTGCTGTCGTGGTGCTTGTTGCTATGGTTGTTGTTCTTGCTTTGTGAGTGTTGCTGGTGTTAAGGTTGTTGTTATTGCTGGTGTTGTTATTGATATGTTTGGTTGTGCTCTTATGTATGATAATGTAGTCTTTGGTTTGTTGATGTCGTTGTTGTTCTTGTTCGCGTTGCTGAATTCACTGATCCTGGTGTTGTTATAGCTGCCGTTGTTATTATTGTTGTTGTTATTGGCATTGTTGTTGTTATGGTTTTTATTGTTGTTGTTATTGCTGTTGTTTGTATAGTTGTTGCTGGCCTGTTTCTTGGTGTTGCTGTTGTTGTTGCTCTTGTTGTCGTTGTTGTTATGGTTATTGTTGTTGGTGTTATTGTTGTGTTTAGTGTTGTTGTTGTTGCTGTTATTGTTGTTGTTGAACTCTCATTCTTGAAGAATAACTATTGTTGATCCCCCCCCAAACCGTGCACATTGATTTTTTTCGATTGAAGTGCCACCCCCGGGGCTCGCACCTTGTTTTTTCGCAAGGAAAATCTTCCTGCTCAAACTGTGCCCCTGCCCCCCGGGCTACAACAACAACGGCTCCCGCCTGAGACTTCCTCGATTTTTACTCAGGACCCCCGCTCCCGCCTGAGACTTCCGCGCAATTTACTCAGGAAAGGCGCTCCCGTCTGAGACTTCCTCGCAATGTAATCAAGACCCCCGTTCCCGCCTGAGACTTCCGTGCAATTTACGTGGGAACGGCGCTCCCGCCTGAGACTTCTTCGAATTTTACTCAGGACCCCCGCTCCTGCCTGACATTTCCGCGCAATTGACTCAGGAACGGCGCTCCCGCCTGAGACTTCCTCGCAATTTAGTGAGGACCCTCGCTCCCGCCTGAGACTTCCGTGCAATTTGCTCAGGAACGGCGCTCCCGCTTGAGACTTCCTTGCAACTTAATCAGGGCCCCCGCTTCCGCCGGAGATTTCCTCACAATGTACTCAGGACTGCGCTCTCGCGTGCGACGTCCTCACAAATTATTCTGGAATTGCGTTTCGGCGCTCAGGAACCACGCACGCGCCAAGGACGCCTTCACAACGTGGTATCTTCCCTCTTCCTTCGTCCTTCCCCCTCCCCTTCCTCCCACTCTCCCTCGTTCTTCCCCTCCTCCTCTTGCAGGGCCCGCGCCAATTCCAATGGCGGGCAGAGAGATGTACGCCCCCGAAGGATTGTCCGCCCGTTCCGGTTTGCCCGTACGTCTAAGCCCGCCGGCCCCAGCAAAGAGAAATAATCCCCCCGAAAGGGGTGTGATCGAAGACGAAGAGGGCGGGTATCGAGGGTGTAGGGTATACGTGTTGAATGACTCGCGGGTTGTTATTCTGATTGTTGTTGCCATGCTTGTTGTTGTTCAATGTTGTTGCCGCGCTGGAAAACATCTGGCCACATGTAGCGGGTTCAAAACATCATGAACCAAACAACCTTGCCGTCTCTCGGGGGGCGATTTCTACTTCCGCTGCCTCCCGCCGGCGGAGGCGGCCTCGCTTTGCTTTCGCCGCCTTCCGCCGAGGAACATATATCAACTCCTTCGATCCTCGAAGGCGAGGCCCTCTCTGAGAACGCCTCATGTGTATCCAACTCTCGCCCAGGTCGACCGCGTCATGTGCATCCAGCTTATTAGTACGGCGTTGCTCGCCTGGCGGCTCTCTGAGTTGTTCGAGCCCGCATCGGCCGCGGCTCCGCCCTGGCAATTCGTGCCACGGTGCGTCGCTGTGCGGCTCGGCCTGCAGCCGAGCCGCACCTCGCGCCCGTCTGCGGGCCAGCTCGTCGAGAGTTCCCTCGGCTGCGCCCACCCGCCTGTCGACGCCCGCCTGGGGCCCGCTGGGCGAACCGTGCATGATCCCCGCCACGGTGCTCTTCAGCTTGGCGGCCAGGCTCGGCTTCATGGCAGCCCGCCGCCTCCACCATCGGCTCCCCCCCCTCCGAGAGGCGGCACCTTCGGTTGCGCGCCTCCTCCAGAAAGCCGGGCCGTCGAGCGGCCGACCTCCAGGAACCCCAGGGCAGGTCCCAACAGCAGTGGTGGCAATCGCGGCGCGCCAGGGGTCCCAACAGCAATCGTGGCAATCGCGGCACTCCCAGCGATCCGCTGTCGTGACTTTTTCAATGCGGTCCCCGGGAGTCTCGACCTTTCCCCAGCGCTGGTTTTTCATCTTGACTCGTTTTTTGACGGTCCTGGGGCCCGCCGCGGGCTCTTTCAATACGTTGGCTCTCTGGGTTGTCGCCGTCGAGCGCGTCCTTGCCGTCCTCGCCGCCGGCCACTTCGGGTTGCCGCTGGCGCCGCCGTGAGCGCGCGCGGCTGCGAGCATCCCTCGCGGCTGCCCGTCGTGCCCGCGGGCCGAGTCCACACGAGATCCCCGCCGCACCCAGCGACGAGACAACGGGTAACCGCGGCCGGTGCCGTGCTCGAGCCGAGGCGGCGGAGCCAAACAGGGGCTGCCGCGGGAGAAGGGGGGGGGGAGACGGAGAGCGTGGCAGGCGCGGGCGGGGGAGGTGGGGGTGCGAGGGGGCAGGAGGGGGGAGGCGAACGAGGGTGTGAGCAAGGAAGACAGAGGAGGAAGACGACGAAGCGGAGGAGGGGGAGGAGGAGTAGGAGGAGGAGAGGGAGGAGGAGGAGGAGGAGGAGGAGGAGGAGGAGGAGGAGGAGGAGGAGCAGGCGGAATGGAGACCCCCCAAACGGGGTCCGAGTAAATATGGTCAGAGGATCGCGCCGCATCGCCGACGCATCTGCGACGTCGGCGATGCATCTAGGCGCCATCGGCGTGGAGAAAATCGGGCTTCACATCGAGTCGCATCGCTGATGCAGCGGCGATGCGGCGCGATCCTCCGACCCCGCCTTCTCCGACCCCATTTGGGAGGGCTGCAAGCAATCGGCATGAAAGAAGCGGGTCCTGATGGCAATGGGGGCGATGGGATCCTGGACCCTGGGGCCTCCCCCTGGGGCCACTTCTCGATCCCGTGCCGTCTCATGACGGCCCTGGGGGCCCGCCGAAGGACCTGGGAGTCCGAGACTGGCGGCAGACCTCAGGGCCCGCTTCCCTCAAGACTCGCTTGCCCCATGGCGATCCCTCGACATCCGCTCAAACTCGGCCCCTGGACATCTCCCAGGGGCCCGTCCTGGCTGTAGCCCTTCGAGCTGCGCCAAGCCGCTGGCGACGGCGGCCGCTCCAGATCGGCTACGCGCAAGAGCGACCCTGGACAAGAGTGACCCGTGGTTGGGTCGGGCATGTCCCCCCCACAGGGGTCTTTTGGACGAAAACTATAAAATACAACAAATACTCGGAACATATTCAAACATTATCGAAACACCGTCCCCGTACTATTTTTGGCCTATCTCCAAATATTCCTCCGGCCTGCAGAGGGACATGCCCGACTTCAACCGATGGTGCGCGGACCGAGGGGGCGCAGGGCGGCGCGGCCAACTCCGAGCGCGCAGGCAGCCGCTACCGCACCGCGCCTCACGATCGGGGGGGCCCCGAGGAGCCCGCTCCAGACAGGTCACTCCGGCGAAGGGCCACTCTTGTACAGGGGGACGGGGACATGACCACAGCCGTTGCTTCCTGTTTACGCCGCCTTCCAGCCGGCCGAGAAAGAAGCAGTGGCTGTGGTCATTTCCCCGGTGCCAAGCTTAACGAGAATGACCACACCCACTGCTCTCCGTTTCTGCTGGCTAGCAGGCGGCAACAGAAGAAAACCAGCGGCTGTGGTCGTTTTCCCGTCCCGCATGCACGTGTAGCCGACCAGAGGCCCACAGAACGGCCCGGCCACGAGGAGCAAGTGCAGGAGGAGGAGGAGGAGGAGGAGGAGGAGGAGGAGGAGGAGGAGGAGGAGGAGGAGGGAGGGAGGGAGGGAGGGAGGGAGGGAGGGAGGGAGGGAAGGAGCGGAGGGAAGGAGCGGAGGGAGGGAGGGAGGTCCAAAACACCGCAGCATGAGATGGCCGCCTTCTCCGTGACGCCCGACGCCCACCGCGCCGGCACGAGCGCCCGCCCCGCGCCGGGCAGCGCCCGGCGCTGCGCGCCGGCGGGCCCGGCGCGCCGCGGCAGCCCCTGAGATCCGACGCTCCGATGCATTGGGCAGGGACCGGCCGCCCTGGCATGCCTATAGGTCTACTGCAGGTCCGTGTCGTGACGACCCCAGCGTTGGTTTCTGACGCCGCGTGGATCGTTCAACCTTGAACGATCGGCGGCTGGTCGATCGCCCGATCGTTCCATATAGGTTGATTCTGGGTCGCTGGCGGCGTTCAACCTTGAACGCCCGCGCTGGGGTCGCCGCGAGTCGACACGACGCGAACCTACCGTACCACGGTATGTCCTTAGGACAGTGTTCGTGGAACGGAACACCGGTGTCTCAGCATCAGACGGTGATCAGCCGGACGTGCTCTATAGGCACATGTCGTGGAACAAACAACACACACGAGGTTCATAGGACACTCGTCTGTGCGCCTATAAGCAAGCCGCGGTGCTTCGCCACTGCCTGCAATAGTGCAGCATCGCGAAATCACGCCCAAAGCCCTGGACCACGATCATCTTTCGAGCCGGATCGATCGCCATCCTTTCTGCGTCATCTTTCGAGCCGGATCGATCTGCGAGGGCCTCGCGGCCCGAATCCGGGCGACAACTTCTCACGCCGCGGCGCGGCAGGAGGCAGGCCGCGCGCGCGCGCTCAGGCGGTCCGAGCAACGGAGGGCGCAGAGGAAGCGGCGGCAGGAGCAGGGGAAGGCGGGCGAAAGCGGCCGCGAGGGAGGAAGGAGGAAAGGGAGGGCAGGGAGGGCACTCACCCTGAGATCCGCCGTGGCGTCAGAGTTGCAGCACCGCGAAAAATCACGACCAAGGCTCTGGACCCCCTTGTTCTGCGCCATTTTTCGAGCCGCGCTGATCTGGAAGGGTGCCGCGGGGTCCGACAAGAAGGCGAGACCGCCCAGCTCTCCACAAAAGTCGAGACGCCAGGATCTCAGAGCGGAAGGGGATGGTTTGCCAGGGGTCGACTACCCATGGGACGCACAACTACATACTAGTCACTCGTTACAGTACTATATGTCCTCCTTGGAGGCGTGCGTCCGACCCGAGCATCTAGCATGCCCATCTTGTAGTATAGATCGTTTCCCGAGCGACGTGGCCAGAAAGCGCCCGCCACGCCGCATATACCATAATTAAGATCTCGCGGTGCGCGAGTCGCCCCTGGGGGGGGGGCAGTGCACACATAGTATGTATGAGCATGTTGAGGCGGTGCCTCCCGACGCCATTTTCTCCCAGCGTCGACTCCCAGAGTTTTTCCTAACGTCGACTCCCAGAGGTCTCGACCCCTTCCCCAGGGGACCGGTTTCTCACCCCGAGTCGTTTTTTGACGGCCCCGAGGCCCGGCAGGGGCCCCGAGAGGCCGAGAAGCGCGGGAGCGCTTCCCGCCATGATTCCTCTGCGCGGCCCGAGGGGCACACGGCGAGGGGCGCCGCCGAGAGCCGGGCGACAACGCCCGTCGTGACACAAGAACTGCCACGCCCGCGCGCCGCGCCTCGCCTGCGGCGCTGTACGCCGACGACGCCGACGACGACGCCGCCGACGCCGCCGACGCCGCCGCCGACGCCGCCGACGCCGCCGACGACGACGACGCCGCCGCCGACGCCGACGGCGCCGCGGCGAGGCCGCCGGCCGCCCCGGCCGCGCCTCGCCGCAGGGGCGGGGCGGCGGCCGCCGCCGCCGCCGCGGGGCGGCGCGCCGCCCCGCGCGCAGGCGGGGCGCGCCGCGCGGCGCGGCGCCGCCGCGGGCACGTGCGCGAGGTGGCGCCACCGCATGCCCGCGCCCCGGTCGGGCGCGGCCTACAGTGGAGGCCAGTCCACAAGAGAGCTTCTGCAAGAAGCTCAGCCCCGAGACCCCAGGGCGTCCACCGACCTCTGGTGCGGGGACGTCACGCCCTCCATGGCAAAGCCAGCGGAACCCAGGAACCCCGAGGCGCCCTGGAGGCAAGCAGGGTCCTTCTTGGCATGGGCCCCCACTGTAGCCGACCCCCAGCAGAGCATCCCCCTTCCGCCCGGGGGTCCTGGCGTCCCTGTTTTCTCGAGCCGTGAGCGGTGGCTCGCTCTCTTTTCAGAATTCGGGCCGCGGGGCCCTCACGGATCGATCCGGCTCGGAAGATGACGCAGAAAGCTGGGGTCCAGGGCTCCGGGCGTGCTTTTTTACCAGGTTGTGCGTCCGATCTCAGGGCGTGGCGCCACCCTCGCCTTTCCATTATGTCGGGCCTGCCCCCCTACAGGGGGATTTTCGACGAAAACTAAAAATACCCCCCAAATAATAAAAAAATAGTCCAACCATAGTCCAGGGACTATTTTTTGAGTGTTTTTGGACCTTTTTGGTGTATTTTGGGGGTATTTTTGAGTTTTCGTCGAAAATCCCCTCGTAGGGGGACACGCCTGACATAACCTTTCCAGCTTCCCTCTGGCCCCATACACATGTACGTCCTGGGGCGAGGCGAGGGGGGCGTCGCGGAAAGGGATGGCTTGCTGGGGGTCCGTGCTGCCGCCCGCGCCGTGGGGCTCGGCGGGGCCGCGGCCCCGAGCTTCTGGGGCCGGCGGCGGCTGGTGCCGCGGCGGAGGAAGAGGTTCACGGAGGAGGCGGAGTCTCTGAGATCCGGGCTCTGCAATTTTTTCACCGGGCGCTTTCGCCAAGTGCTAGGTCGGGCATGTCCCCCACAGGCAGATTTTGAAAGAAAATTTCGAAATGGTCACCAATACATAGAAAATCAGACATAGACCAAACATCCTCTCCAGAGTATTTTTTAAACTATTTTTGCATATTTCCTCCTGTAGAGGGACGCGCCCGACTTCAGCCAAATGTCGGGTCGCGGGGCCCTCCCAGATCGATCCAGCTCGAGAACTGACGCAGGAAGGTGGGGTCCGGGGCTCCAGGCGTCGCTCCTCCTCCTCCTCCTCCTCCTCCTCCTCCTCCTCCTCCTCGCTCCTCCTCGCTCCTCCTCGCTCCTCCTCCTCCTCCTCGCTCCTCCTCCTCCTCCTCCTCCTCCTCCGCCCGTACTCCTCCTCCTCCTCCTCCTCCGAGATAAGGTGTTACCGCGGCCCGTTGGTTGTTACTGCGGCCTGGTGGGTGTTAGTATGGCCAGGGGTCCTCCGGAGTGTATTAATTATCGAGTGCGGTGAAGGGGGGGGGGAGGTCCAAAAAGGCTCCGCCCCCCCCCCTTCACCGAAGAGCCTCTCGGAAGAGCTTCTGGTGCTCTCCGAAGAGCCTCTTGGAGCCGCCGAAGACCTTCTTGCAGCCGCCTAAGAGCCTCTTGGGCTCTCCGAAGAGCCCCGTGGGGCCTCCGA